CGGTGATTGAACTCGGGTTCTTGTGCTTGCAAGGCAGGCCACCGAACCGCTGAGCTAAATCCCCAGCCCTGCGATTGGCTTTTATCCAGGTCTACATTTGGAACTATTAAAACCGCGGAATCATTAGGGTTGTGGTGGCCACCGGTCTGGCAAATGATAAAATGCATCAGTAAGATTTTTTACACAACCCCATGGTGCCTAATGGTATCTCCTCCTGAACGTCTCTTCCCACTTCTGGCATAGGATGGTACACTCCATACTGCCCCCTGGAAAAAGAGTGTCAAAATTGAGCTCGCCCAGGGCTTCCTCCTCTCCCGGAAGTAATTGTCCCCCAGACCCGGAAGCAGTTGCTGTTTTAAGGGAGGCGGGACTGGGCGGGTCAGGCCGCCGCGGCTGACGGCGGGGGAGGAGCCGAGTCCACTGCTGGGTGGAGGGACGAGGCGAGTGTCCTCATCCTAGCGATCGGGGCTCGGGCCTGTGAACCATTTGGGGTCGCGTTGACGGGGACGATCGAGCCGAGCGGAGGAAAACATGTTGCTCTTCGTGGAGGTAAAGTGGACTTGGTAATCCGGTCCTGCTCTTGGGGTGCGATGGGGTGTGGAGGCGCCGGCCGGTCCCACCGCCATGTGACTTTCCAGGCCGTACACGCCGCGGAACCGGCAGAGAGGCTGACACAGCACCTGGGCCGTGCAGGCCTGCGGCCCCACGCTGCGCGCTCCCGACGCTTTAGGAGGCCGTGGGGGTGAAGCTGGAGCAGAGGGAGCGGGGAAGGTGGCGCATCGAAGGCTGGGGTGCTGCGGCGCGAGGAGCCGGGCACCGGGAAAGTGTCCCATATGGACCTCCTGCCGGCGGCGGCGGGCCGCGGGGTTGCGGGGGCGGAGTCTGCGGGGGAAAAGGGGAATCAGGTGGGCGCGTTCTGGGGCGCAGCGAGGCCTCGCAGGGCCCTGTGGGAGAGAGGAGCAACATGTGGGACCGCCCAGGGAGTAAGTGAAGTGCGGCTTAAGTGCCTTTTCTGTTTGTTTGTTGAAGTGCTTTTGTAAAGAAAGTGGAAATCTTTTGTAACCTCCACCCGATTTTGTTCGGTCCTTGTCCCTGGATCTCTGGAACGTTCTGTGGGTGAGAGCGAGTTCACTGTGAACGCAGGAGAAGCCAATAGGGGTTGGAGCCTTGAAAGGCACCGCTTTGACCTTTTGTAAAAGTTACTCGGGCGGCGACTGCGTGATGCGGATTGGTTCTGGGAACCCTTTAAAAGGCTCTTTACAAGGAAAATTCCGGGAATAAGAGAAACGCAGTCTGGGGAAAGCCGTCTCTGTGTGTGTTGGTAATGAACAATAAGTATTTTTAATACTTTTAACTGCAGCGTCTGCCGCTGGCCTATTTTAGGTTTCAAGGTAGTGATGATACCTGCCTTACGCCAATGCCAAGCTTCATTTCTCTATTTTCTGCCCTTCTGTTGTGTGCAGTGAGCATCAGCTGATTGCCTGGCTAAAGCTTTGAAGTAGATTCCAGATGTATTATTCTTACACTGTGAGAACTTGAATGAAACCAGAAAAACTGCAACTTTGCGGCTTAACTGTGTCCGTAAGAAGAAACAATTTAGCAGTTGTATGGTGGACCTGGGAGTTGGGGCCAGCCTGTGCCGGGCGTTCTTCGGGGGTGGTGATACATGAGCAGAAAGTAAATAAGTGATTTAACTTTTTTTTTTTTTTTTTTTTTTTTTTTTTTTTTTTTTTTTGGTATTCTTTTTGGGTGGAGGAGTTTGAGATAGTGTCACTGGCCTTGAACTCACTATGTGCCACAGGCTGGCCTCAAACAGCAATCCTACCTCTGCCTCTTAAATGCTAGGATTATCAGGGAAGCACCACCACACCCGGCTAAATTTTTTTTTCCCCGTGGCATTGAGGATCAAACTCAGGACCTTGCACTTTCGAGACAGGTGCTTTGCCACTGAGGTAAATCCCCAGCCCCACAGCTAAAATTTTTTAAATCTTAATCTGATGATATCTGGTGGTTTGTAAATTTGAGATATTTAGGCTTTAAAAAGGCATTGCTACCGTAGAGTATATCCAACATGAATAATAAACATTCATTGGAATATTCCAAGCAAATCGTTATAAAGGGTTTTAAATTACCTGACTCTGCCTGTGGTGGTGCATGCCTATAATCCCAGCGCCTGGGAAGCTGAGGCATGAGGTTTGCCGAGCATTGGATGCCAGCCTAAACTGCATAGTGAGACCTTGTCTCAAAAAAAAAAAAAAAATCTTTCTTTTCCTTCTGCAGAATTAATTTTAGGATTTATTTATTTATGTATTTATTTATTTTTGAGACAGGTTCTCACTATGTAGTTGAGACTGACCTGGAACTCATTGTGTAGCCCAGGCTGATCTCAACTCACAGGATCCTCCTGCCTCAGCCTCCCGAGTGCTGGGATTACAGGCGTGCTCTACCATGCCCAGCAGGAGTTACTATTTTTGGTTTTGTGTTGCTTTGATTTGTTTGAATCCAGGGTATCCTCACATAGCCCAGTCTGGGCACACAATCTTGTGATCCTGCTGACTCTGCCTGCCAAATACTGAGATTATAGGTGTGCTCCAACCACACCTTCTGGACGTTATGGTTTATTTTTTTATTTTTTACTTTTGGGTTTTTTTTTTTCTTTTTTTTTTTTTTTTTGAAAG